TATCACATTCTTATATTCTTAATTTGTTTAAGTATCATTATTTTTTTTGATTAGAATTGATAAACTGTAGGCTGAACTAGTTTAAGTTGATTGATCGATAAGTAGATAATAAAAAAGGTAACGCATAAAGTCTCATGTATTTCTAGTATAAAGTGTTAATATTTTTTTTTCATGCGTATTTTTTCAATTTCAAACTTTTTCAACAAAAATGAATTTTTGAAACAACTATACCTTTTTTAAATGAAATAATTTTTTTTTAATTTTTTTCGACATGCCTTTTAATAAAGTTGACAAGAAACTTTTGAAGGATTATATTGCCATTGACACTAATAATAATACATATCAAGAATTAATATCATTATATAAATTATCTATAAATAATAATCAAAAAGTTTTAAAAGAATATACTTCAACCATAAATAAATTATCCTCGAACATCAAAAATTACTCAACTGTATTATCAGCAGTTATGATGGCAATTGCATTAGCAATTTTCTTGGTAGCAAAAATAATAGTATTAATAGTAACAACAATAGCAACAGCAACAACAACAGTAGCAGTAACAATAATAGCAGCGGCAACAATAGCGGCAGTAATAATAGCAGTAGCAACAATAACAGAAGCAGCAGCAATAATATTCCTCCACCCTCACCATTACTATCATTACTACTATTACTACCATCACCATCACTACCATCAATACCATCACCATCACTATTACTACCACTAACAATAATATTACATCTACCATATTTTATATCAGAAGCTATAAGATTGTCAACTGATCATAACTGGTTCGTGTTAATAGGATCCTTCATATCTCATATTACCTTTGTAATTATTTTGGACATAGAGCAAATAATTGCCTAAATATTAATGAAGTTCTTTATTAAACTGCTTTAAATATTAGAGACTAAGGCATAATATAACGGAATGTAAGGAATATAAAAACAAGCTGCTATTTAAAAAAGAATATAAAATATTTGGAGAACTAATACAATTAATAATTAAATTTTAATTATAAATATATTAGGTGTCTTTTTTTTTAGTGCTGGATGGCCAATTTATTTTTTAAAATATAGCAAATATCAGGTGGAATTTTTTAGATTGTAAAGGTGTCAAGTGGCATTTTAATTTTTATATATATATATAATACAATAGCAAAAATACTAGGTAGTATTTTTTTTTTGAAGCTGGATTTCAAGTTTTAATATTAAAAGAACGTGTTTTTTTTTATAATATAGTAATAATGCTAAGGTAACATTATTATTTTTTTATATATATACAGTCAACTCTTTCTACAACGAATTTTGATATAACGAATTTTACAATACAACGGATTTTCATTGTC